AGAAAAAAAAAAACGAATAAAAAGCTTAGCAAAAAAAAACCTCACTGTTGGGTTGCTGCTCGCACTGATGGGTGTTCTCAAACGCAGCCTCCCCCCTGCAATTCACGTGTGAAAAAATAATTGTGAATAATGGTGGAAACCCCCCAAGAGTAATCCAAGCATTACTACGCTCCATAAAGTCCTTTTGAGGTGGATATTAGCAGAGCACATTTTGGAATGGATTGGAGGTTTCCACCACCATTCATATAGTATTATGTATATCATAATTGCACAGTATTTATGTTTGAATAAGATTGAAGTGTATTAATGCTTGGATTACCCTTGGAGGTTTCCACCATCATTCACAAATATTTTTTCACATATGAATCAATTCTATGGGGAGGTTCTGCTACATTATTAAAGTTTGTTTTTTTTTTTGGGGGGGGGGTCTCTAAGGGAGGCACTGATATAGGGCACTATGACCTATTGGGGGAGCTCTAAGGGGGGGAAGCACTGATGTAAGGTGACTCTGACCTAGTGATGGGGGGGGGCCTCTAAGCTGCGTACTGATATAAAGTGACTTTGGTCTAATGAGAGGACTCGGGGGGGGGGGGGGGGGACATTGACATAAGGGGGACTGATTTGATGGAGGGTCTCTGGGGGACTTATATAAGGGGAGGCACTGATATGAGGTAACTCTAACCTGGCAGTTGTGCTCTAAGGTGACTCTGAACTAGTGGGGGGGTTCTAAGGTGGGTACTGATATAAGGTAACTTTGACCTAAGGAGAGGGCTCTAAGGGGGGGGGGGTTGATATAAGGGGGACTCTGATTTGATGGGGGGTCTCCAAATGGTCAGTCCGCCCCTGGGCACTGATATGAGGTGACTGACCTTTTATAGGGGGCGGGGGCACTGATATAAGGGGACTCTGACCTGGTAGTGGTGCTCTAAGGTGGGGGCACTGATATAAGGTGACTCTGAACTAGTGGGGGGGGGGGGGGGGGGGGGGGGGGGGGGCTCTAAGGTGGGTACTGATATAAGGTAACTTTGACCTAATGAGAGGGCTCTAAGAGGGGGGCATTGATATAAGGGGGACTCTGATTTAATAGGGGGTCTCTGGGGGGGGCTGATATAAGGGGGCTCTAAGGGGGGCACTGATATAAGGGGACTCTGACCTAATAGTAGTGCTCTAAGGGGGGGCACTGATATAAGGTGACTTTGACCTAATGAGAAGGGGGGGGGGGGGGGGGGGCTCTATTTGAGGGGGGGGGGGGGGCATGATATAAAGGTGACTCTGACCTAATGGGGGGGGGGGGCTGAAGGGGTGGAGCTGATATAAGAGGACTCTCACCTAATGGGGGCTGTAAGGAGGGCACAGATATAAGGATACTCTGACCTAATGGGGGGGGGGGCTCTAAGGGGGGCACTGATATAAGGGGACTTTGCCCTAATGGGGGGTCAAGCATTGATATAAGGGGGACTCTGATTAGATAGGGGGTCTCTAAGTGAGGGCACTGATATAGGGGACTCTGATCTAATGGGGGTCCCCTGTATTATAAAGGAGGTGACACTGACCCCCGTATACAGACAGTCTTTCAAAGCACAAATGGTGTCTTTCTACAGCAAATAATTTGGAAAGTTGTGATTAATTCCATAGGATTAGAAATGTTATTTAATCACAGAATATATACATTGCGTGTACTGCAAAAAAAAAAAAATGCGTGGGCTTCTAAAGTGTTCGGGTTTGGATTGAAGAAAAGGTGGCAACCCAATGCAGAACATGTCAAAGGGTCCCGCTGTAGGATCGTAATAAAGGGCCCCCGGACCAATGGAAAGGGGCCTGGGATGGGGTCAGGGGGCGTCCTTCATGGTTTCTTGTACCGGGGTCCTGGAGGTTCTACTTCCACCTCTGGTGCAGTCTATGTGCTGTGCTGGATGTTACATACTCCCAAGCAAAGTGTTTTTTGTTGCGCACAGTATACTGTGTATAGACCCTTTAAATACATGGCGCTATATAGCCACACCCACTTTTCACCATAAAGTGTGTCCATTATCCCTTCTCCAAGTTGTTCCTCATCGGTGTCACCAGCTCCTGGGTCATAAAGCAGCACAAGAGCAGGACTTCTAGGTGCAAAAATGATACAAGGTCATCTAGCACCCAGGGTGAAGGTGCCAAACAGCACCCCCCACCCTCAAAATGTGTGGACATTCTGGGGTTGATATACTAAAGGCAAATATACGGTGTACGGAAAATATAAAGTGACATTTTTGCTTGGAAATGATTGGATGATAGAGATCAGCAGAACTCAACCCCTACGTGTCATCAAAAATCCCCCCCCCCTCCCCCAACATAAATCCTGACCAAATCTGCTCTCCTAGCACTATAAAATTTCCCCTTATGGCACGAATCCCCCTACATTCTCCTCAAGCAAAAATTCCCCCTCTCCCAATACAAATCACCCCTCCTAGCACAAATCCAGGGCAGACTGACCACTTGGAAACTCGGGCACTGCCCGAGGGCCTGGGGTCAGTAGGGGGCCCCATGAGATGCCCCTGGTACCTTTTTCATAGGCTTTTTTGAGTTTGGGCAAGGACACAGGGGCCCCATGATCCCCTATTGTCCGGGGGCCCCATGAGTTGTCAGTCCGCCCCTGCTCTACCCCTCAAATTTCCCCTCTGAGCAAACAATTGGTTGATAGGGGCTGAGTTCTGCTGATTGTGCTGGGAGACACAGCAAACCTTCTGGCAATAGCATGTAACAGGGGCGGACTGACCATTTGTAAACTCGGGCACTGCCCGAGGGCCCGGGGTCAGTAGGGGCCCCATGAGATGCCCCTGGTACCTTTTTCATAGGCTTTTTTGAGTTTGGGCAAGGACACAGGGGCCCCATGAGTTGTCAGTCCGCCCCTGGCATGTATTGATGGGCCATCCTGGAGGAGTTGGACTGCCTGTGCAACCTCTGTAGGGTCCAGGTATGGCCTCATGCTACCAGTAGTGACACTGACCCTAGCCAAATGCAAAACGAGTGAAAAACAGTCAGAAAAGATGAGCAGGGGAAAAAAATGTCAATGGCCTCCACCTGTAAAACCATTCCTGTCTTGGGGGTTGTCTCATTGTTGCACCTGTTGTTAATTTAATTAACACCAAAGCAGCTGAAACTGATTAACAACCCCCTCTGCTACTTAACTGATCAGATCCATATCCCAGGAGTGTCATTGACTTGATGCTATACTCTAATTAAAAAGTGTTCCTTTATTTTTTTGAGCAGTGTATTTTTAGTGGTAGCTGTCTGGGTGTTTTATATTCCTTTTTTCTTTTTTGATATCTCTATTAACATAGCCATCTCCATAAAGACATGGTTTGGCCAGTTTGGTGTAGATGAGCTCAAATGACCTGCACAGAGCCCTGACCTCAACCCTACTGAACACCTATGGTATACGTTGGAATGGTGATAGCCAGCCAGGTCTTTTCAGACACTTTCCAAAATCTTCTAGACAGCCTTCCCAGAAGAGTGGAGTCTGTTATGTCTGCAAGGAGGGGGCAACTCTAGATTAATGAGCATGGTTTTGGAATTAGATGTCCAACAAGCTCATATAGGTGTGATGGCCAGCTGTCCATACACTCTTGGCTGTCGATAAGGGGATCTTTCCCATATTTTTTTTCCCCCCTTTGAAACCCTTAAAACCTTCTTTTTGTACTCGAATTCACCTGAATTTGAAATGGAACAGCTAGTGTGCTCATCACTACTTTTAGAGACCTAATTATACCTTGAATGATAAATAGAGATAATAAAATGGAATACATAAGAAGAGAACTAACCACAGTACCCAAAATATAAATATAGTTGTCAAATTGTAGAAAAAGTTGATGTAGTGGTCAAAAGGCTACATAAAAACCAATTAACAGAAACATAAAAATGCTAGTAAGATAGGGTAGAGGGCCAAAAAGCTTTAAGGGATACTTTGATATAAACAACCATCAACTCTTTTAGTCCCTACTAACCCGTATATAAACAACTATCAACCCATATAAGTCCCTACTAGATTTCACAGACCACTGAGTTACAATTCTTTGGTTGAACATTCATTGAGGTTTTTCACACATTAGTTTATAACCACTGGCCAATAAAGACTTTGATGTTGTATTTTCTTCAGCTTTGCCACACTGTTGCCCAGGGGCCGGATGTTGCCTTTCGCTTGCCTTTATCTGGCCCTTGGGGCACCATTCTACTGACACCAATGATTGGGCACCATTTCCATGTGGGCACCATCTATGAGGAATTATTCTTCCCATTGATACCACCAATGGGGCAATATTCCTTCCACTGACACCAACAATGGGGCATAATTCCTCCCACCGACACCAATAATGGGGCATAATTCTTCCCCCTAATACCAAAGATAGGGCATTTCCTACTCCCACTGGCCACAGTCCAGCTTCTCGAAAGCCTGAAGTAAAATAAACTGTCCCTTTTGCTTTCACACACCTTGGAGACCCCAATCTATTATTTATATAATAACACATTTTTCTATTCAGTTAAGTGGCTTTTACTTTGTAGATGTTAGCTCACCCTGTTTTATATACATTCTTGGTTCCAGTGTTTGCACTTAGTGTTTTATTTATCTATATTCTCTCGCTCTAGTGGAAGAACACATTGAGGCTGGCGTTAGGTTTTTCTCTGAAAGTAAATTGCAAAGTTGCACATAAATAACAGATATTCACAATACAGAAACGACTTGGAAAATGGCATGTCGCAGGGTTCAGGGTCTTCTTTTCGTCAAAGCTTAGGAGAAAATCCATCAGGAAAATCAAAGGCTTTAGATCTAAAGGGTAACAGAGCAGGTGGAAAAATGACGTCAGGATGGGAACGTTGGGTGGAACTATTTGGCTGTGGCAAGAGTTGGGAAGACTAAGAAAAGGCTGGTGTAGAATCTAGATATGGTTCACTGTAGGAAAAAGGGGCAAGGAAGAGTTGGGCAAGGACACAAGTCTACTTTAGTTTCTTTGACTATTTGGTTTTCATCACTCACGGTAAAAAACGTATTCGGTGTAAGATGTCCAGATCTTGTCATCTGTTAGATCGTGCATAAAGGAGCATGTTCCAGTAGAGTTACACGCCACCATATGAAATCCAGCATCTGCCAACCTATCAAACGCTTGTTCCAGAAAAGTAAACTTCAGGTAGTACCTAGAGGTATATCTTTCGGGGGGTCGATCTGGATCCCGGCTCTCGTTTAGGGTATCTCCAAAGACTTCCTTAGCGAGTGATGTCTTTCCACATACCATTATTCTTGCTACCCTTCTGAATTTGGCATCTGTTTGACTGTCTCTTCCTAGAGTGTAGGAGCCACGGTAACCTAGAGTTATGAAACCGGACCTATGAAGGTCTGAAATGGATTGGTTCCCTGTTGCAAGAAGAGTATCAAAAGATGTTAGGTTCCTGCCAATCTCAATACTGGGCGATTGGTCTTCCGAGTCACTCTGGAAGGCATCATCTCCGGCAGAGTTTTGCTTGCTGATTTTTGGTGCCAAGATTTTGACTAATTCTGGGAGCTTAAAGTACTCGGCCTCCCTCTGCAATCTACTTCTTTCGGGAAAATGTTCTGGAAGCACTAGTTGTTGGTCTCTCAAATAATCCAAGACGTATCGAAAGAGAAATCCATCTCGGTCTAAAAAAATAGCGACCTTTGCTATCCCTGGCCAGAAGGCGAACGTTTTTTTGTGAAAAACATTTCCCATAGGAGGGAACCAGGGATGCTGATCAGAGTGGGATAACGGGTTATGTGTAGACTTGACCACCGACATTTAATTCTATGATGTCTGGAAATGGAGAGTTATCTGGAAGAGCCATTTTCTTTTTATGTTAACCCTTTTAAAATCCAAAAAAGGTCAGCCTGAAAAATAAAAAGAACACATTGGATTATAAACATGAAACCTTAAAGTAGATCTAAAGTCTAACTAGATGGCTTTTACTTTTCTAAAACGATGTACTTTAAACCTTCCTCTTTTTTCTCTTTGAGTCTTTTTCTGCCAACTCCAGTCTACATATTCTTGCTCCAACATTGGCTGGATATGATTGCTCTGGACTGGCTTCTTGATCATGGCAATGATGGACCATGTTGGCATAGCCTCCTGTCTCCACCAAGTGTGCATGTGACAACATGAGAGCTCAACAGAGAGACAGTTGTCACCTGATAACAAGGTACCTGAACAAGGACCTTCTTGACAGGATTGTTTTTTATTTTAATGAAAACTGCAGATTTAAAAGGATTAAAAACACTATTTAAATGACATGAACAAGATAAAGCTTTACTGAGATTTCTGTTTTGACTCCTGTTCCCTTCTTCACTCCCAACCCCCTGTTCCCTGTGCCTTCCTCACTCTTGACCCCTGTTCCCTGTGCCTTCTTCACTCCTGACCCCCTGTTCCCTGTGCCTTCTTCACTCCTGACCCCCTGTTCCCTGTGCCTTCTTCACTCCTGACCCCCTGTTCCCTGTGCCTTCTTCACTCCTGACCCCTGTTCCCTGTGCCTTCGGCACTCCTGACCCCTGTTCCCTGTGCCTTCGGCACTCCTGACCCCTGTTCCCTGTGCCTTCGGCACTCCTGACCCCTGTTCCCTGTGCCTTCGGCACTCCTGACCCCTGTTCCCTGTGCCTTCGGCACTCCTGACTTCTGTTCCCTGTGCCTTCGGCACTCCTGACCCCTGTTCCCTGTGCCTTCGGCACTCCTGACCCCTGTTCCCTGTGCCTTCTTCATTCCTGACCCCTGTTCCCTGTGCCTTCTTCTCTCCTGACCCCCTGTGCCTCCTGCATTCTTGACCCCCTGTGCCTCCTGCACTCTTGACCCCCTGTGCCTGCCTCCTGCACTCTTGACCCCCTGTGCCTGCCTCCTGCACTCTTGAACCCCTGTGCCTGCCTCCTGCACTCTTGAAACCCTGTGCTTGCCCCCTGCACTCTTGAAACCCTGTGCTTGCCCCCTGCACTCTTGAACCCCTGTGCTTGCCTCCTGCACTCCTGACACCCTGTGCCTTGTGTGTTTCCTATTTTCCTCTGGCTGCCAAGGGCTGAATCCCCCCCAGGAAACAAAAATTATCTTCAGCCCTGGTGGAGGCATTTCCCCCTAGCTAAAGATTATGAAAATGGTATTGTGTGACTGTCCCTTAGGCAAATGGCAGTGGACAAAGACACAAACAGAGTTACCTTTAGTACAACTAAACCCCAACAAAAGAATTCTCAGCGGGTTTTCAGATCATGGAGCAGGAACTGCTATCCACATTGTACCGGGATTGTACGAGTCATTCATAAAATGCAATGCCTGCAGTGTGCATGATGCTGCCAATGATGGCAACTGAGCTTAGTTGCAGGACTTTGACAGATCATGTGACCAGACTTTCTTCCTCTTGGTACTTTTGTGGGCATTTATCAAAATGAATGGTGCCACGCTTGCTTCAGAGTCCCAAAGCAAGCAAACTGGGGTGCGAGCAGCAAGGCCATACTGCTGCTTTATAACTGGGTTCCTTAGTTTTGTAGAAGACTTTGAGTATAATGGGATCCTCTTATTGTTTTTAATTATTACCGGTTTCCCTTTACTGTTTTCCATATTTTCTCTCCATGCACTGCATACATCCTGTAGACCCCTTGTGTGAACATACTGAGGATATATGCATGCTCCAGAGGCAGTTCCAGAGGCAGTAGAACATCACAGTTGTAATATAGTAACTGTAGTCAGGAGCATTCCTCCCATGGACCAAATGGAGCCTGCTGCCTTAGGTGGCACTCCAAGTGGCAGCGCTGAGGACTGAGGGTTCACTGTTCAATACCAAGCCTTGTAAAATTACAGGCTCAGTGTTACTGAGGTCCCTGTCCTGCCTTTGTGCCAGTTCCACATCTGATTGCGGGGCTGGGGCAGTTGAGTGGGGAGAGGGGTTGGGGCAGGCTTTTGAGGGGAGATTGATGGGGTGGCAAAAATGGCCACCTTGGGCAAAAAAAAATTGGCAAGCTTAACGATTTGAGTAACTTTGACAAGGGCCAAATTGTAATGGCTACGGGTCAGAGTAACTCCAAAACTGCAGCTCTTGAGGGATGTTCCCGGTCTACAGTGGTCATGGCTGACCAAAAGTGTTCCAAGGAAGGAAAACCGGCAATAGGGTCACGGTTGGCCAAGGTTTACTGATACAGGTGGGGAGTGAAGGCTGACCTGTGTAGTCCGATCCAATAGAATTTCTGAAAAGGTTAATGTTGGTTCCAATTGAAAGGTGTCAGAACACACAGAACATCCCAGTTTGGTGGGTATGAGGCTTTGTAGACACTGAATAGTCAGGGTGCTCATGCTGACCCGTGTCCACAGCCAAAAGCCGAAAATGGGCACGCTAGCATCAGAACTGGACCATGGAGCACTAGAAGGTGTCTTTGAAGCAGTGACTTGGCCTCAAAAATTCTCCAGATCTCAATCCAATTGAGCATCTGTGGGATGTGCTGGAAAAACAAGTCCAAACCATGGAGGACCCACCTTGCCACTTACAGGACCTAAAGGAGCTGCTGCTGACAGCTTAGTGCCAGATACCAGAGCATATCTTCAAAGGTCTAGTGGAGTTCATGTCGTGTGTGGCTGTTTTGATGGCAAAAGGAGGACCTACTCAATATTCAGTGGTTGGCCATGTTATGGAGGGTGATCTCAATGTTATTGATGATTGGTGTATAAAAGGTTACTTATTCAACATTCACTCACACTCTATACCAGTGGTTCTCAACCTTTCTAACGCCGCGACCCCTTAATACAGTTCCTCATGTTGTGGTGACCCCCAACCATAAAATTATTTTCGTTGCTACTTCATAACTGTAATTTTGCAGTAGGAGGAATAGTGCCACGTCATTGGTGTCAGTGGGAGGAATAGTGCCACGTCATTGGTGTCAGTGGGAGGAATAGTGCCCCATCATTGGTGTCAGTGGGAGGAATAGTGCCCCATCATTGGTGTCAGTGGGAGGAATAGTGCCCCATCATCGGTGGCAGTGGGAGGAATAGTGCCCCCTTCATCGGTGTCAGTGGGAGGAATAGTGCCCCCTTCATTGGTGTCAGTGGGAGGAATAGTGCCCCGTCATTGGTGTCAGTGGGAGGAATAGTGCCCCCTTCATTGGTGTCAGTGGGAGGAATAGTGCCCCGTCATTGGTATCAGTGGGAGGAATAGTGCCCCGTCATTGGTGTCAGTGGGAGGAATAGTGCCCCGTCATTGGTGTCAGTGGGAGGAATAGTGCCCCGTCATTGGTGTCAGTGGGAGGAATAGTGCCACGTCATTGGTGTCAGTGGGAGGAATAGTGCCACGTCATTGGTGTCAGTGGGAGGAATAGTGCCCCATCATTGGTGTCAGTGGGAGGAATAGTGCCCCATCATTGGTGTCAGTGGGAGGAATAGTGCCCCATCATTGGTGTCAATGGGAGGAATAGTGCCCCATCATTGGTGGCAGTGGGAGGAATAGTGCCCCCTTCATTGGTGTCAGTGGGAGGAATAGTGCCCCCTTCATTGGTGTCAGTGGGGGAGGAATAGTGCCCCCTTCATTGGTGTCAGTGGGAGGAATAGTGCCCCGTCATTGGTGTCAGTGGGAGGAATAGTGCCCCCTTCATTGGTGTCAGTGGGAGGACTAGTGCCCCGTCATTGGTATCAGTGGGAGGACTAGTGCCCCGTCATTGGTATCAGTGGGAGGAATAGTGCCCCGTCATTGGTGTCAGTGGGAGGAATAGTGCCCCCTTCATTGGTGTCAGTGGGAGGAATAGTGCCCCGTCATTGGTGTCAGTGGGAGGAATAGTGCCCCGTCATTGGTGTCAGTGGGAGGAATAGTGCCCCGTCATTGGTATCAGTGGGAGGAATAGTGCCCCATCATTGGTATCAGTGGGAGGAATAGTGTCCCATCATTGGTGTCAGTGGGGGGAAGAGTGCCCCATCATTGGTATCAGTGGGGGGAGGAATAGTGCCCCATCCTTGGTGTCAGTGGGGGGAGGAATAGTGCCCCATCATAGGTGTCAGTGGGGGGAATAGTGCCCCATCATTGGTGTCAGTGGGGGGAGGAATAGTGCCCCATCATTGGTGTCAGTGGGGGGAGGAATAGTGCCCCATCATTGGTGTCAGTGGGGGGAGGAATAGTGCCCCATCGTTGGTGTCAGTGGGGGGAGGAATTGTGCCCCATCGTTGGTGTCAGTGGGGGGAGGAATCGTGCCCCATCGTTGGTGTCAGTGGGGGGAGGAATCGTGCCCCATCGTTGGTGTCAGTGGGGGGAGGAATCGTGCCCCATCCTTGGTGTCAGTGGGGGAGGAATAGTGCCTCATTGTTGGTGTCAGTGGGGGGAGGAATAGTGCCCCATCGTTGGTGTCAGTGGGAGGAATAGTGTCTCATCGTTGGTGTCAGTGGGAGGAATAGTGCCCCATCGTTGGTGTCAGTGGGAGGAATAGTGCCCCATCATTGGTGTCAGTGGGAGGAATAGTGCCCCATCATTGGTATTAGTGACACCAATGATGGGGCACTATTCCCACTGACACCAGTGATACTTACCTTGCAGACCCCTGCTCCAGCCTGGGCTCGCTCGCTCCCTCCCTCTCCCATGGTACCGACACTTACCTGTCAGCTGTCTTCCTTCTCCGGCCGCTCTCCTCCTCTTCACTCGCTCGATCTTCGCGGTGCCGCTCGGCCCCTCCTCTCCAAGCTCCACCTCCTTGCCGGTGATTGGCCGCCTGTGTGCCTGAGCTACAGTGCCGGCGGCCAATCACAGGCGAGGATTGATCTCGAGGTGTGTCCAGATGACAGGGGCGGCATGTCAT